GTTTGACCGTCCTTTGCCCTTTTCTCCTCCTGTTCAGTCTTGTTGGTAGTGCTTTGGTCTGCCTATGTCAAATGCTGCGCTTCTGGCGGCTGTCTCCCAACTCGCAACTCATCCGTATCTTGTCATATACCCCCAAATTATATTTCCATAGTTGTGTCATTTGAAATTTCCGTTGACAGTATGATTTTGCAAATGAATACATAACAGGGAAACAGAGAAAACGCGCCGTACACAGCAAAACTGTATTTTCTACATTTGCATCATACGATTTCGTAAGACTTGGCCTGGCAACCGAGGCACTGTGACTGGAGGCGGCAAAAGAAAGACGAAACAAAACAACAACAATTTGCCCACAAAAGTATCGGTCAAGAATAAAAAGTGAGCAACGATGGGACGATGGGAAACAAGTGGACGGTGGTTGCCAATGCGACGCAGCAGCCCAGATCGGAGTCGAAGTAAGGTAGTGCGGCTTGTTCACGACCTCCTATTTGACAGATGCGAAGAAGGCCGCAGAAAAAGAAAGAAACGAAAAAGGGATACGATGCCGGAAGAGCAGAGTGTCCCACAGCCTTTCAACCGTCTTCCGCTGCTGATACGCCAATGCCTCCCTCCTCCCCCCCCTCCCCTGCACCTAAAACAAAGAGCGAACACAACCACACCCATCGTGAGCGCCTTCACCGCTTCGATACTGCGATGTCGCGATGCAATGTACTTTGTCTTCTTTGCCTCCAGTCTGCAGCACGCCTGCACTCCTTCGCAATCCTCCCTCCCCCCCCGCCAAGTATCGAAAAACAAAGGGTGCAGATGCAGGGTCAGGAAAAACAAACAAATGAAAATATTTTCTAGACTCTGCATTTCGTGTGCCGTCCATGTGTGTGCCCTCATGCAGGATAGCAAGGGAAGCGAGTGCAACCTGTAGAGTGGTTGATGCGCAGGATGACGGCTTTCATGTTCCCCCCCAATGCATCGAAGTGTATCGATATTACAGTGCCACCCTTTGCTGCCCCCCTCATTTTTGCCTTGCTACGTCGCGGTCAGTATTTGTATGCAACCTCATATTTTGTCGCGTGCAAACTACTATATGCTTCATGCAGCTTGAAGTTCTGTTCGTCGTGTTGTTGCTGGACGGCATGGTCAACTCTTCATAATCAGAGTACGCAGTGGCACATCAAGAGAGCAAGTCACTTTTTCAGAGTAAAAATCGAAAGCAAAGAAACGCACACATCTAAATATTTACGCCCATTACCCCGTACCCTTCACTCTCTCGTCTCATTCTTGTCTGCCGCCTGCGTGCTCCCACTGTATGACCCTTAATATCGCTTCCCGCCAACCGACCGTCCCAGCGCTGGATATCGGCTAATATGGAGGGTATGGTCTAGCGATTTCCTGGTGAACTCCGTTAAGAATGCAGTGTCCTTGTTGGCCGCACTTATTTCTTTTATTTACCTCGTTAGGCTTTCAGTCGCCTATCCTTCACCGCATCTGATATAAACGAGGCTATGGAAAACGAAGGAAGATCAGGCAGATCAGGCATGAAGCGGTAGGAAGACCATGCATCATGTAGTATCACCAACTACCAAGTTTTTTTTTTCGGTAAAAATGTATTCTCTCCTCGCGAATGTGCGACCGATCACCGGTTTACATGGCCCGATCGTGGCCCCAGTACGCAGCATCGTGTCGACCAACCAATGCAAAAATGCCACAACTTGGGCAAGCACCTGGCAGCATCGTTCGATAATTACGTCGAAGAGAGACAATATTCCTGTTTGGGAGACTTGACAACATTTTCACCTGCCACCTTGCGTAGTTTCTCCGTCATTCCCCTTTGGGGCTCCAGTGATCGTCGGTCATCGGCTCAGTTGTTCTGGCCAACAGATCCTTCCTTTGGTCCATGCCAGGGCGCTTCGGGCGGATTCTCCCTTCTGCTTTGACGTGTTTGAATTTCCGCTTGTGGATCACGTCCATGTGGCCATAAATGAGATTGGCCAAAATTTAAACAGGGGAAATCATGGCTTTACGGAAAGTAAATAAAGAAAACTGTTTTGCCGTTGTTCTGTCCTCCCGATTTTGATATACAATTCATGATTGGGCTACATCTGTCAGGGAAACTTATACAAGAGATCAGCAAAATAAACGGGTAGACACGGGAGGTGCCTTTTTGTCGACTGTTGATCGTCCCCTATTTTCTTTCATGTGTCGGCTTTTCAGTGGCCAAGTTCATGAAACGGGCCTTTCCAGCCGTTGACTGTTTATTAACACTTTGAAAGCCGTGTTGTTCCAATATGATCTCTTCTGCCCTGACCAGGATCAGGGGTGTGACGTAGGCGTACACATGGCCGCACATGCTAAAAGAATTTCTGCATGTTCGCGTAAGAGATATTTAGAAAGACAAGAATATGCTGATAAAGAGGTGACCAAACCATTGTGTCGTTGTGATACGTCAATCCGCAAAGTTCACCACCACACGATACGAGTTCCAAGACCTCGGTTCATCGCCACCATGTGAAAAGAATCACCGCTCATGCCCCGGTCTCGGCAGCCTTGTGTCTGCTACTTTGTGCGACATAAATGCAAAAGTAAATTATGTACTACAAACCATGAGCAAGATAAGGGGCAAACCATGCATCATGAATCTTGGGAGTGGATCAGCCAACAGAGGCATCTGCTGCCACGGTGACGCCGACCTCTGTCGACATGACCTCGTTTATCTTTCCATCAGGCTATTACAGGCCGTCATGTCTTGCAGTATTCTGCGTAGGAGCGCGAGTTGGGTTTCTGGGAACCGTTCATTGAACATCGGTGTCACATGTGTTGACGGCTCGTGATCGTTTTACCTGGCATCGTTTGCCCGTTTTGATTTCCAGCGGCCTGTCGTGCAACAACGGCGCAAGTTGTTGGGAACAGAAGGATTGGCGCGACTCTTTCGGACCGGCAGATAATTCGCTTTTTACTCAACTACCGTAGAGCACAGCATGAGAACGTTCTTTGAGGAGCATCTTCGTCTCTTGGTGAGGTATATTCGGCTATCACCGAACATCAAGGGCAGGCCGATTTCTCAAAGATGATGTAGCAGAATTAGCTCGACGGCTTTATCCAAGAGCTGCAGATTAATCTCTTATAGAAATACCAATGCATCAGTATGGCTCTATTCACAGACATCGGCCATGGCACGATAAACACCAAAGTCTACTACGATGCGATGAAAGTCAACCCACGTTGAGTGCTACACTTCCCTCCAACTTCCTGGGGCCACGTCGAGGATGTAACAGGTTCCTAGATCCATGCCCCAAACTCGAGCATCATGTTGGCAATGAGTCTGTACGGTTGTTACCAACAGCGTGCAGCCCTGTTTCGTTCTCCAAAATTCCTTCAATCTATCACATCCACGCTGATACATCGGGACAAAGCGTTCCATATATGTTTACTTCTGCCATTTATTTTTTAAAATAATCAGATTTGTGACCCGAAAACTTGACGGTGTCAGTCGGCTACGTGCAAAATAGCAGTCATGATGTGCATCTATCTGGACCATCGTAGAGTGGCTTATCTTTAACTCAATCGCGCTCCATACATCTCAATATCAGGCACCTGGGTCACCATTGCGGCCGTGTCGCCTCGCTCTTTTCTTTTACATGTACTTGGGACACTCTCATGCAGATTCTGTACTGTGGGAACAAGTCTAACTTTTCAAGCGAATCTCAGTCACATATTACCAAATACATATTAAGGAGAATTGAACAAAAATAAAGATAAAGAAAATAACACCACCCTCGACCTACACCTTATATACGTTTGCATATTTTTTCGAAGGTTATACTTTACAAAAATGTACTTTTTAATATAATGTGAAGTTAAACAAAATAAAACAAACAAGCACAAATATGTCCAGGTTCCGTTCATCGTGAACGCGTTGCCTATGCACAAGAATTCATTATGCCAAAGTCCACACACTTTACTCAGCCTCGTAACACTTCCTGACCTTCTCCACAGACCGCCTTCCTGGTCCTTGACACATATGCACAATGTAAGGCAGAGTCGCTTACTCGGATTCAACTTGGAGGTTTGGTTTCAATTGGATTCCGCTCAAAGTCGGTTGCCATCATGCTCCATTATGCTGAAAACTTAGCATGCCATTCCTAGTTCTGGTCTAGCGAAGCACATGGTGCTATTTGGTCCAGCTGTCTTTGCAGCGCGTGGCAAAGTTGTGAATACGGATGCGAATGCGAACACCACTAGGAGTAGAACAGAGTCTTTTGCGATGTCAGAAACGATAGAGGAGGCCAATCTGGACGATAGTACGTTGGCCGTAATGGCAGACTTTGGAAAGACAAAGAATACTCTCTGGACTAATCTCCTGTCATAGGGCTTGAGAAGGAATAAATAACAATTGCTGCAAGCATGAATCAAGCGCGTCCGAACATTTCCATCGTCCAAATTGTCAGACCGAACGGACGCCGCGTATTGTGTAAGTGAGAGCGTCCCGCTTTTCTGCCCTGCTGGGAGCCCGCTTTAGCACCCACCAAGGCTGCATATGTAAGCGATCTGGCGGCCCTGCTCGGCCGTTAACATCGCGGGGCAGTAGCACGTTTCCATGCGGGCAGCCAATGGCGCAATGCGGTTTTTGCGCCCATCGAGTGCTCTAAAAAATGACGTTGGCCGCTTCGCCGCCAGAAAAGCCGAACGCCCCCCCCCCGTCGCCCAAAACACGAATCGCAACGACAAAAAATAGGAGGCCACGGTGCTCGCACTCTCTTTCTCAGCTTCCCCTTTCGACCAAAATCTGACAACGTCTGCAGTCAATCAGCGGCCCTGCATTTTTCGCGCATGAACTGAGCATTTTCAAGACAGCCAAAGCAGGCATCGAAACGGCGATTGTCACCTCAAACTTCTAATAGAACCGCATCCTCCTGGACTGGCGAACGTCTCGGGTCCTCTTCTTGCCACCGACGACGACGACTACGACACAATCAGCCCAACCCCTCACGCCACGAACAACCACTATGAAGGCCTACGTGTTTGACAACCAGCCGGTACGTTGCGACAGAGTAGCTGAGCGATGAGGAAGCCGAAGGAAGCATCAGAGACACGTAAGCATGCTGACTCTCTCGACTTGCAGGGCGACCAGCGCCTGCCGCACGACTCCGGCAAGGCGGTCGGCGTCGAAGCTCTGGAGCGCCTCGGCGTCGTCTACCACCACATCCCCGACATTGCCGACGTCGACAAGCTGGCCGTCGAGCGCGGCTACCGCAACCGCGACGAGATCAAGGTGTCGCCGGCCACGATGGGCGACATCTACGAAGCCAAGGTCAAGAGCTTCTTTGACGAGCACCTGCACGAGGACGAGGAGATCCGCTACGTGCGCGATGGCGCCGGCTACTTTGATGTGCGCGACACCACGGACGAGTGGGTGCGCATCCGCCTCGAGAAGGACGACCTGATTATCCTGCCGGCCGGCATCTACCACCGGTTCACCACGGACGAGACAAACGTATGTCGAGAGTGGAGAGTGCCACTTGCACGCATGCCCCCGTGATGTCCCCGTGATCCATGTTTACTGACCGGCCTCCAGTACACCCACGCGATGCGTCTCTTCAAGGACGAGCCCAAGTGGACGCCGCTCAACCGCAGCGAGGAGCTGAACGACAACCAGTCCCGCCAGGGCTATGTCAGCACGTACCTCAACTAGACACAGCGGACGCGACGGCCCCATGATGGATGAATAGCGTTTCTTATGGTTTCAAGTCACATACTTCTCATACGCAAATATATGTGCCATACCTTTTCCATTTGGTATATATTTATGATACAGAATGTCGCGCTGTGATGGGTGTCCCTGGAAGCGGATGACGCCCTTAGACAACACACATGTCGTGGCTCACTAAATCGCTTTTCTAATGTACTCGAAACATCTTACATTTAACACCCGGACGAGACAAGAGGCAAAACAAGCCCAAACGCCAAAAAAAAAAAAAAATACACACAAGATTCAAAAACGCCGGCTGGTTGTAAATCGGGAAAGCGTTGGTCGCCCATGCTGGCGGGAGCGGGACAGGAACAACAGAGCCCTCTGGCTTGCATGTTCTGCTCAATGCGGGCGATGCCGCGGAGCGAAGAGTGTAGAGAGCGTAACATTGTGGCTCGCAAGTATGGTATGGCTCAATGAGGTGGCATATACGGCCGGTACAGCTTTTGTGCCCTCTCATCTCACCTCCGGCTGGATGCGCTCAGCGCGAGCAGCCGCCAGGTCGGCACCATCAAAGGCTCCGGCCGTGTCATCGTCCAGGTCGTCGTCGGGCCCCTCCGGCCGCGGCGGCGGGCCCTCAAACAAGCGCCGCCACCAGTTGGGCGGGCCCATCGGCGTCGACCCGTTGTGCAGCGGCGGGTACACGTCGGTAAAAAAGTAGTAGACGTGGCCGATGACCACGCCCATGATCTCCTCTTTGGGGACGGTCCCGTGCAGCACCAGACTAAAGGCCATCAGCACCCACGGCAGGTACGGCGCGGTGAACACCATCAGACCCAGAAAGCTGAGCCGTGTATCGGGGTTGCGCCGCGACCAAATGTAGACGAGCGTCGAGGAGAGCGGCTGGCCGAGGAACGGCGTGGAGACGAGCGGCGAAAGGACGAGCAAGAAGGCCATGGCGTAGACCAGCAGCCACGAGAAGACGGCCGGGGACCGGCCGGCGGACTCCTCGAGGAGGCGCGAGTAGCGCTGGAGAAAGTAGACGTGGAAGATGAGGTCGAGGGAGATGGGGCCGAAGTAGAGGAACGTGGTCAAGAGCCGCCAGTACTAGATTGTCAGCGCACGAAGGAGAGGGACGAAAGTGAAACGGGTGACACGGGAAAGAGACCAGGAAAGAGACGGGAAACAGACGCACCTGGCCCTTAACAAATACTGAGCGATAGCTGTAGTAGAGCTGGAGCGGCGTCAAGATCTGGCACTGCACGAGCGCACTGATGGCAAACGTCGCTGTTGTCCACCATCGCGTGCAGATGGGCGTCTCCCAGAACCACTGCTCGAGCGGGACGAGCCCGCCGTCCATCACCTGGTCCATCGCGCAAGAGAGGACGAGTTGTGTCGGTCGGCAGCGGCACAGGGTCTGTCGATGTATCGGTGTGGGGCGCAGAAGGATCTTGGATGGTAAGCAGGATCCGTCGGTTGCCGCAGTTTGGCGGGTATTGAGTAGTTCGGATAAACGTCGTAGCACCTAAATGCGGAGCAACAGACGGTTTGTTGAAGTCAATGTTGGAGGAATGGGCAGCGGATGCAATGTGGGCGAGTGTGTTGACTTATGTACGGCGCGTGTCGCTGACGTTGAGGTGGCCTTTCGTTGGCAGTTGAACTGTATTACGAATGTCGTATATGAATGGCCATATTAAGGTCCGCTTCCCCAATTAGTAACCAATGCCAGCGAGATCGCATGGCGACCGGAGACTTCCCGCCTCTGGGCCGTGAGCTAGGGGGTGTCTGTGGAGGGGTCTTGCGGGCAGGGTCCTCTGCCAAAAGCTGCGTGGCATTTGGCACTGGCGCTTGTGGCTGAGTGAAATGTGGCTGGTGTCCAATTTCACGGCTTAGTCAACTTTCCATTTCACTTTACGCGCTAGTCGTAGTCCAACGCGTTGCGGCGCGCGACGGGCGCTATGGAGAATGCGGAATGCGGCCATCGCCAGCCACCACAATTTCTTTGATTTCAAGTGTTCGTTCCCTCGATCCCCCCCTTGTCAAGTATAATCTCGAGGGAACCCCCCCCCTTATCCGTTCTTTTCTTTCTCTCGTCAAAAGAAATTTAAATTTTAATTCTACCGACTTTTCAATACCTTCTTGTTTTCGAATACGTCTATTTCTTTATCCACCGCTTACGCATTCTGACGCATTTCATCTTCGTTTCATTCTACTCAACGTTTCGGCTTCGCATTCATTTTTTTGCCAGCTGACAACTGTTCACGATCTCTCCTCGAGCTTCAGGCTTTTTCGCGCATACAATCCCAAGCTTCGCCAAAAGAAAAGAAGATAAAATAAAAAATAAAAAAGCTTTTTGCTCTCGCGCATTTCGCCTGCTATCTCACCATCTCTTGCGCTTCTCCTTGTTCTTTGCGACAAGAACGGTCCGATCACTAGTTTTCAGCCTTCACACCCACGCGGCTCTGCGATAGCTTCCGCGCGCATACCTAGCGACCACCCCCAATATCTACTTGACAAAATACACCATGGCTCCGAAACAGTCGGCAGCAGCGCGAACTGCTGGCAAGCGCCCCGGCCGTCCGTCAACAGGCGGCGTCAAGAAACCGGCGCGGACGTCCAATGTGCAGCGTAAGTTGCACAACACGAGCACGACCCAAGACCTGCAACCCACCAAGAACCAAGGCGCAAACTAACACATACATACACAGCCGGTGACCCTGTCCCCCAAAGAAAACAGCGCCGCTACCGTCCCGGCACGCTGGCCCTCCGCGAGATCCGCAAGTACCAGAGCAGTACCGACCTGCTCCTCCTCAAGCTCCCCTTTGCCCGTGTAGTAGGTGGTGTCTCTCCTCCCGTGCCAGAAGCTCAAGCTCAAGCCTGCGCTCGTCTTCCCCGTTGATCGTGGCCCGTACTAACAAGCAGCAATAGGTCCGCGAAATTGCGCTGAGCGTGCGGCCCGTCGACGAGGGCATGCGGTGGCAGTCGCAAGCCATCCTCGCGCTGCAAGAAGCCGCCGAGGCCTTCCTGGTCCACCTCTTTGAAGACACCAACCTCTGCGCCATCCACGCGCGCCGTGTCACCATCATGCGCCGCGACATTTGGCTGGCGCGGAGAATACGAGGCCTGTGGGGTGCCGGTGGCCAGTACTGAATCCTGTCCTTGTTTTTTTTACCTTTGCTTTTCTTCTTTGCAGTCGCCGTGGTGAAAGAGATGGACGGAAGGGAGGGCTAAGGGATGGGCCCAACACAAAATCGGTTCGACGGGTAATATATGGGAGGGGTGTTATATGGCTTTCGTTTCTTTCTTTGGTTTTCTTTTCTTTTCCCCTTTTTTTATCATTTGTATGGGTTTGATACCTCTCAGGGCAACAGGAGTTTCGGTTTCGGTCTTGGTCTGCTTTACGACTCTTTTTCTCGACCGGTTTTCATACGGTTTTCATACCGTTTACCTGGATTGCCAGCATGTACTGGCTCCAAACCACGTCGTCATTTATTGTTTTTTAGTTGTTCTCACTCTAGCCCAAGTTCTCGTCGTTGGCAGTTGATTGTTATGCTTTGGAGGCCGCCACATCAGCGGTCACCTTCCAACCACAAATACATCGAAGAACAAGTTTTAAATGTTACAATTCTGGAACCCCGACGGGTGGTGTTGCCCTCCTGCCGGTCTGTATGTGCACGCCTTCGGCTATCAACAATGTTTCCACCCTAACATCTCTCCTACATTCGAAATAGACTCAGCAAGAGTCGAAAGCCGAGTTGCCAATGCCAGGCCATACATAGCATCGACAAGCAACAACCACTCCGTATATGGTCGGATCTACTGAGTAACATCCCGCTCTGCACCCTTAAACTCCGTCGTCCTCCTCACCATCGTCTTCATCGTCTTCATTGTCCTCATCGTCTTCATCATGTTCAGTCCCCGTCTCGCTTGTTTGCCCATGTTCAGATGACCGGCTGGCGTATATCTTCTGCAGCCTCTGCGAGGTATCCTGGAGTTCATCTCGCTCGCGCTTCAGATCATCTCTCTGCTGTTCGAGGCGCTGGATATGCTTCCGAGCAAGCTCCAACACCTCGCCCTTGCTCGCCTGCCGTTCAACAGCATTCGCCGTCACCGCGGTTGCACTGCTGTATCCAAAAACGGTCGCCGGAGACCGGAGACTCTCTGGTGGCAGAGCGTTCATCAAGTCTTCAAACCGGGCATTCAGCCGGTTCCGGTACTGCCTCTCCATGATATTCTGCGCGCCTCGTGACCTCTTTCTGCTTTGCTTCTCAGCGGGTGGCTCAACGTTGCGACTTGTCGTTGATGACTGGGGAGCCCGGCGTGAGCTCGGATCACCGCTCGAAAGGCTCTCCCCCCCAGAGCTACTCGCCATTGACAATGCCGAAGGAGCTGGCACTGCTCCAGCCTTGCTGTTTGGCCGACGGCTTTGCGGCGGCTTTTGCTTTGCCTTGCCTTTCTTGTTTGCAGGCGAGTGTCCCTCGTGGCCCTTTTCGGGGGTAGCAATGGACCCGCTGCCCACGGAAGCGCCTCTTTGTGCGTTGATATCCGCGATTCCCGTATGCGTCGTGGAGTAGCGCCCCCCACTGCTTGTCGAGGTAAAAGAGTTTGGCGTCTTTGCGCCAGGCCTCAAGTCCACTGGAGACATCCGCGCGCTGCCGTGCCCTGTTCCCGACCAGGACGAAGCCGCGCCATGATCAGAGTCCTGTCCACTGGGCGTATCATGCGCGTTCCAATCAGACGAGTACGGTACCGCGTCATCCCTATTTGAGGACGGTGCATATCCGCGCTCAAACAATGTTGGTTCAGCCTCCACAGGAGCTCCGGTACACTGTTCACCGTAAGGAATGTATCCATAACTGCTCAACGAAGCATCAGCCGGGCTTGTTGCAGACACGGGACTTGCAAAAGCCATGTGATGTCCTGATTGACGCCAGTCATGGCCGGCCCGGGAATGAGCGTCTGATTCCATTTCCAGTTGTATGTCTGCTGGAAAACTGAACATGCCCTCGTGTATTCCCCCCGAGTCGATCATGGCCACATCATCAGGAGTTGGGATCTGAATGGCGTTGAAATTAGCCATAAACAATGTTACACTTCCTTCCAAACAATAGCGAGTGCCTTGTAGGATTTTAGACGATTCTCTCGACATGGCATTCGACTCACCTGACCCTCCCCGCCGATTGGTGCAAAGTATTGCTCGGAAGCATTGCTCTGCTGCTCGTTGTTCATGGTAGTTTCCGGAGCGAGTTGGCTGAAAATATTGTTTGTGACCAACTTTCGTTCATCTTCTAGACTGTAGGCTTCCTTCCCTATGTCTTCTCTTATGTATCCATGGTGGACCAAGACAGTGTCTCGAGAAAACGTATATTCACCAACACATGTACCCGCAGAAGGGGCAAGGGCCGTGTCCGAAGATCCTACCTAACGCAGGGCAGCGTTCGAGTCGCAGTGTAGGGACAAAACGAAATAAAGCAAGGGTCACAAGGCCTACTTCTGACCAGAAAGCTGTTTGAGAAGAACGCCCGTCACGAAATCATCCGAGACTCTACACCATTATCACAGTTTACCTCGCTTCTAGACCCACGACGGAAGAAGCTGTCACTGGTGTTGAAATACAAGTGCTATTTGCGGGTATTGGCCTGAAAGAGCTGTTTTTATTTTTGTTTTGTGAGATAAAAATAAAAAAACGAAGACCCAGCTAGTTATATTCTTTAACCAAACTAACCAGCTCGAGGATTGCCGTTACCATTACCAAAGAAAAGCAGATAGGGGATATACACCCAACTAAAGTCGAAGGAAGACACGACAGCCATGAGACAAGAGCAAAACTAAGTCGCCGACTATCTGTGCCTATAAATTATATGGAAAAATAGAGGACACAATAGATTTTCCCTTCATCGGAACGCATCAAGCCCATCCTGCCTTGTCATTTTATTTCCAAATGTGTCATTGTCACGAGCTGCACTTCGCGAGACGTTTCGGCGGCTATTGTTGCGTCTCTGACCATCCCAGCTGGAAGGTATTCGGCTAAGAGACCGAATACTACGTTGTTTGTTTTTGTCTGCGGAGAGCAGCTGGGGACTAGCCAGCGAGTGATAGGCCTATGCCGAAGAAAATGCGACTTTGACAGCTATCCATCCTTCCCTTGTGCTATAAAAATCCCACTCTCTTTTGGTTTATGATGCGGGCCTTTCCCCTCCACCCCTTCGTCTCTCGTTTTCAAAAAGTGTGCCTTCCACTATAGAACGATGCCCTCCTGTTTGTGCTGACACCTGATCTTGACTCTGCCGTTGCTGCCAAGTCTTCATTTGACTGGTCAAGTGATACAGGTAGACGTGTGCTGTGATCCAAGAGACTGCTTTGATGCGGTATTTCGGCCGGCTCAGTCCGTGGTGGTCCTGTCCAAGGTTACTTGGTATTTTCCCACAATGTGCCTGCAGAGGACAAGGTATCACACAGCAGGTGTGCCTCCTTCAAGACAAGTGAGACAAGGCAGAGTTGGTGACAGACAAGTAAAAGGACCCTGAGGAGAAAGAAAGACGGCGGGCAGAGTGCTCCATCTTCCTGCACAATCTTGCCTCTGTCTCTCGTTTTCTCGCTTAGCCTCCGTGATGGAGCCTGTCTAGGACAAAAACGCAGACGTCAGTGCAGAAAATATGGCACCTTATATGTGTTGGTGTGGGTGATCACAGCCTTGACCATATTTGATCCCCCCCCCTCATGTTAACATGATTAATCGAGCTTCCGCTTGAGACGCTGGCAAATACGTCTAGCCTTAGGTGACCGAATTTCTTTCATATTTGATTTCATTCCCCGCAAATAACGAGAAAACAACGGTATTGTAATGCAAACAACTTTCTTCATCAACAACACGGCGGAACTGGCTCTATTATTCGGTTGTGTCTTGCATGAAAATAAAAAGGGGGGGGAGACAGACTGGAGAAGCGAGAGTGAGAAGACGAGTTTCGCCTCCTGCGGCCCGTTAAACTACATTGCTAACCTATGACGTTTTGGGTCACTGCCGGATCTCAGTTTATGAAGATCTGGCGGTCTGGTCCCAAAGAGCCGAGCCTAGAGGCCTCCGGTTTAGCTACAGGACGTCCAGATTCGGCATGCCCCTTGCCCTGTGGACGTCTTCGCGGGAGACGAACTGCAGTGTGATATCGCCAAAAGTGGTAAAGATGCACACTGCCAACCCACCATCAATACACACCGGTCTGCAGTTCCTGCCAATTACAACAGTGTCGGATGCACATTCTTTTCGGCGAAAAGACAAAAACAGAACGAAAAGAATGAAAATCCACTCGTGCATTCGCTTGCATTCAGCTCAACAGGCCCTCTCTTGGAGACTCGGGTGTTGTATCCGGCCTTTCCAGAACAGCTATCGACGAATCATGACAGAGAAGGCGGGTGGTCAAAAGAGGCCTTGCTGAGCTGGATTCGGTTTGACAAGGACGGGCTCTCTATTCTGTTTCTGGCAAGGACTATTTATGTTTTCTTCTTTGGGGTGCAGGCGCCCCGTTGCAAACAGAAGGGTGGGGGCCGAAAATGGAAATCAGGATACCAGACCTTTCTCATTTGGATCACCGCAGGCGTTACCCTCTGCCTTTGCTTCGTCTTTTTGAGGAGAACTGACGAGGATCAGTCTGTGTGGTACGGAATGACGGGATACGCGTAAAGAGAACCCTCTTCCCCCTTTCGTCATTTGTTCACTCAGTATGGATTACAACATATGGAGTGCAGAATTGCTTCTGTCACATTGTTTTTTTTATTGCCCACCACGCGCTTTGTGCGAATATATGTCATAAACTTGGTTTAAATTAGCTCCACGTCGTTTTTATGTTTGTTTATTTCATTCCTTGTTCTCTCTGATTTTCGCTGCTTGCAGGATATAGAATCTGCAAACCCAGTCACCAGACTTCAACTCGTACCGCTATGGAATTTCTTACTCGCTGCTTGTGGAAATCTCGTCGCAAAGTGGGCGAATAGTATTGAAAGCCACCCTGTTCAACCCCTTGTGCGGTGCGGCAGACACAGTATTTTGCGGTTGCATCTACCGTGTTCCCGGCGCTGTCGTTTATCGTCCATCGTAGCACTGCAGCCTTTTTATTGTTGCAGTATAATTCTCCGATGAACGCTACGCTACTGGC